CAGTCTCGGGACCACAAGAACATGACGTCAGGCCAGTGGTAGGTACAGTCTCGGGACAACAACAACATGACGTCAGGCCAGTGGTAGGTACAGTCTCGGGACCACAACAACATGACGTCAGGCCAGTGGTAGGTACAGTCTCTGGACCACAACAACATGACGTCAGGCCAGTGGTAGGTACAGTCTCGGGACCACAACAACATGACGTCAGGCCAGTGGTAGGAACAGTCTCGGGACCACAACAACATGACGTCAGGCCAGTGGTAGGTACAGTCTCGGGACCACAAGAACATGACGTCAGGCCAGTGGTAGGTACAGTCTCGGGACAACAACAACATGACGTCAGGCCAGTGGTAGGTACAGTCTCTGGACCACAACAACATGACGTCAGGCCAGTGGTAGGTACAGTCTCTGGACCACAACAACATGACGTCAAGCCAGTGGTAGGTACAGTCTCGGGACCACAACAACATGACGTCAGGCCAGTGGTAGGTACAGTCTCGGGACCACAACAACATGACGTCAGGCCAGTGGTAGGTACAGTCTCCGGATCACAACAACATGACGTCAGGCCAGTGGTAGGTACAGTCTCGGGACCACAACAACATGACGTCGGGCCAGTGGTAGGTACAGTCTCTGGACCACAACAACATGACGTCAGGCCAGTGGTAGGTACAGTCTCTGGACCACAACAACATGACGTCAGGCCAGTGGTAGGTACAGTCTCTGGACCACAACAACATGACGTCAGGCCAGTGGTAGGTACAGTCTCGGGACCACAACAACATGACGTCAGGCCAGTGGTAGGTACAGTCTCGGGACCACAACAACATGACGTCAGGCCAGTGGTAGGTACAGTCTCTGGACCACAACAACATGACGTTAAGCCAGTGGTAGGTTCAGGCTCGGGACCGCAACAACATGACGTCAGGCCAGTGGTAGGTACAGTCTCGGGACCACAACAACATGACGTCAGGCCAGTGGTAGGTACAGTCACTGGACCTTAACAACATGACGTCAGGCCAATGGTAGGTACACTCTCTGGACCACAACAACATGACGTCAGGCCAGTGGTAGGTACAGTCTCTGGACCACAACAACATGACGTCAGGCCAGTGGTAGGTACAGTCTCTGGACCACAACAACATGACGTCAGGCCAGTGGTAGGTACAGTCTCTGGACCACAACAACATGACGTCAGGCCAGTGGTAGGTACAGTCTCTGGACCACAACAACATGACGTCAGGCCAGTTGTAGGTACAGTCTCTGGACCACAACAACATGACGTCAGACCAGTGGTAGGTACAGTCTCTGGACCACAACAACATGACGTCAGGCCAGTGGTAGGTACAGTCTCGGGACCACAACAACATGACGTCAGGCCAGTGGTAGGTACAGTCTCTGGACCACAACAACATGACGCCAGGCCAGTGGCAGGTACAGTCTCTGGACCACAACAACATGACGTCATGCCAGTGGTAGGTACAGTCTCTGGACCACAACAACATGACGTCAGGCCAGTGGTAGGTATAGTCTCGGGACCACAACAACATGACGTCATGCCAGTGTTTGGTACAGTCTCGGGACCACAACAACATGACGTCAGGCCAGTGGTAGGTACAGTCTCTGGACCACAACAACATGACGTCAGGCCAGTGAAGATTCCATGGGACACGGGAGCCGCCGTTTCAGTGATGGTGTGTGACTGTTTACCCAAGTCGGCATCATTGAACACTGGAGTATCTGTCATGCTTCAATGTATAATAGCGAAAACTATAGCGCACCCATTCACATAGTTCCAGGCATCTCTTCGGGGGAGGGGGGAGGGGCTCACCCACCCGGGTATCAGCTACAAACTTGACTGCCGACACTACGTCTCAGCTAAAACATTTGACTGCCGACATTAAGTCTCAGCTACAAACTTGACTGCCGACATTAAGTCTCAGCTACAAACTTGACTGCCGACATTAAGTCTCAGCTACAAACTTGACTGCCGACATTAAGTCTCAGCTAAAACATTTGACTGCCGACATTAAGTCTCAGCTACACACTTGACTGCCGACATTAAGTCTCAGCTAAAACATTTGATGGCCGACATTAAGTCTCAGCTACACATTTGACTGCCGACATTAAGTCTCAGCTACAAACTTGACTGCCGACATTAAGTCTCAGCTACAAACTTGACTGCCGACATTAAGTCTCAGCTAAAACATTTGACTGCCGACATTAAGTCTCAGCTACACACTTGACGGCCGACATTAAGTCTCAGCTAAAACATTTGACTGCCGACATTAAGTCTCAGCTACACATTTGACTGCCGACACTAAGTCTCAGCTACACACTTGACTGCCGACATTAAGTCTCAGCTAAAACATTTGACTTCCGACATTAAGTCTCAGCTACAAACTTGACTGCCGACATTAAGTCTCAGCTACAAACTTGACTGCCGACATTAAGTCTCAGTTACAAACTTGACAGTCGACAATAAGTCTCAGCTATAAACTTGATTGCCGACATTAAGTCTCAGCTACAAACATGACTGCCGAAATTAAGTCTCAGCTACAAACTTGACTGCCGACATTAAGTCTCAGCTACAAACTTGACTGCCGACATTAAGTCTCAGTTACAAACTTGACTGTCGAAATTAAGTCTCAGCTATAAACTTGACTGCGGACATTAAATCTCAGCTACAAACATGACTGCCGACATTAAATCTCAGCTACAAACTTGACAGCCGATATTAAGTCTCAGCTACAAACTTGACTGCCGGCATTAAGGCAAGTCTCAGCTACAAACTTGACTGCCGACATTAAGTCTCAGCGACAAACTTGTCTGCCGACATTAAGTCTCAGCTACAAACTTGACTGCTGACATTCTCAGCTACAAACTTGACTGTCGACACTAAGTCTCTGACTGCCGACATTAAGTCTCAGCTACAAACTTGACTGCCGACATTAAGTCTCAGTTACAAACTTGACTACCGACATTAAGTCTCAGCTACAAACTTGACTGCCGACATTAAGTCTCAGCTACAAACTTGACTACCGACATTAAGTCTCAGTTACAAACTTGACTACCGACATACTCAGCCACAAGCTTGACTGCCGACATTAAGTCTCAGCTACAAACTTGACTGCCGACATTAAGTCTCAGCTACAAACGTGACTGCCGACATTAAGTCTCAGCTACAAATTTGACTACCGACATTAAGCCTCAGTTACAAACTTGACTGCCGACATTAAGTCTCAGCTACAAACTTGACTGCCGACATTAAGTCTCAGCTACCAACTTGACTGCCGACATTAAGTCTCAGCTACCAACTTGACTGCCGACATTAAGTCTCAGCTATAAACTTGACTGCCAACATTAAGTCTCAGCTACAAACTTGACTGCCGACATTAAGTCTCAGCTACAAACTTGACTGCCGATATTAAGTCTCAGCTACAAACTTGACTACCGACATTAAGTCTCAGTTACAAACTTGACTACCAACATTAAGTCTCAGTTACAAACTTGACTACCGACATACTCAGCTACAAGCTTGACTGCCGACATTAAGTCTCAGCTACAAACTTGACTGCCGACATTAAATCTCAGCTACAAACTTGACAGCCGACATTAAGTCTCAGCTACAAACTTGACTGCCGGCATTAAGACAAGTCTCAGCTACAAACTTGACTGCCGACATTAAGTCTCAGCTACAAACTTGACTGCCGACATTAAGTCTCAGCTACAAACTTGACTGCCGACATTAAGTCTCAGCTACAAACTTGACTACCGACATTAAGTCTCAGTTACAAACTTGACTGTCCACATTAAGTCTCAGCTATAAACTTGACTGCGGACATTAAGTCTCAGCTACAAACATGTCTGCCGACATTAAATCTCAGCTACAAACTTGACAGCCGACATTAAGTCTCAGTTACAAACTTGACTACCGACATACTCAGCTACAAGCTTGACTGCCGACATTAAGTCTCAGCTACAAACTTGACTACCGACATTAAGTCTTAGTTACAAACTTGACTGCAGACATTCAGTCTCAGCTACAAACTTGACTGCCGACATTAAGTCTCAGCTACAAACTTGTGTGCCGAAATTAAGTCTCAGCTACAAACTTGACTGCCGACATTAAGTCTCAGCTACAAACTTGACAGCCGACATTAAGTCTCAGCTACAAACTTGATTGCCGACATTAAGTCTCAGCTACAAACTTGATTGCCGACATTAAGTCTCAGCTACAAACTTGACTGCCGACATTGAGTCTCAGCTACAAACTTGACTGCCGACATTAAGTCTCAGCTACAAACTTGACTGCCGAAATTAAGTCTCAGCTACAAACTCGACTGCCGACATTAAGTCTCAGCTACAAACTCGACTGCCGACATTAAGTCTCAGCTACAAACTTGTCTGCCGACATTAAGTCTCAGCTACAAACTTGACTGCCGACATTAAGTCTCAGCTACAAACTTGATTGCCGACATTAAGTCTCAGCTACAAACTTGATTGCCGACATTAAGTCTCAGCTACAAACTTGATTGCCGACATTAAGTCTCAGCTACAAACTTGACTGCCGACATTAAGTCTCAGCTACAAACTTGACTGCCGACATTAAGTCTCAGCTACAAACTTGACTGCCGACATAAAGTCTCAGCTACAAACTTGACTGCCGTCATTAAGTCTCAGCTACAAACTTGACTGCCGACATTAAGTCTCAGCTACAAACTTGACTGCCGACATAAAGTCTCAGCTACAAACTTGACTGCCGTCATTAAGTCTCAGCTACAAACTTGACTGTCGACATTAGGTCTCAGCTATAAACTTACCTGCCGACATTATGTCTCAGCTACAAACTCGACTGCCGACATTAAGTACAAACTTGACTGCCGACATTTCTCTTCACTACCATCGTGTTTTGTTTATCATCAACACAAAACATTAAGATTATCAACGATAACAAAATGAATGAAAGAAACTTTGAAATGTTTTAAAACTTTATTGATATCAATACAAACAGTTTGTAAACAAATACAAACAGTTTTGTAAACAAATACAAACAGTTTTGTAAACAAATACAAACATGAATGAAAGTATAAATAAAGACAATGATGGCGATGAAAAATCTAATGTGGAGGTTTAAACAAAACAAAGATACAAGTGTAGCCTATAAATATTTCATTTCTCAACAATAAACATTTGTTTATAATTTTGTTTATATGTCTAACAACTCTTAACAAATGACGTGAAAGAAACCAAACAATTTAAGTTTAATTAAGGGAGACGCCATTTTGTTTGTTTACATTAGACAAGGGGAGAGAACCAACAGTTATAGATGGATCAATACAACACATACTCCCCACTATAATTTCCTTCAGAGTTTGATCCACTGTGGGGATGTCTCCACCCCCAGCCATATCCCGGCATGTAAACATGTGCTCCACTGGAGCCAGGACATGTACATGTTGTGTACGTGTACTTGTACCAACCTTCCCTCTCATGTTCGTGTGTCCATTGTCCTACAGAGACCTGTTTAGGACAGCCATGAGGATGTGACACTATAACGGTCAACTTGTCCACAACATCAAATCTCCTGTATTTGTCCCATGCTTTCCTACATAGATCCTCAAAGTGCCGCACCATCTTGTCCAGTTCATCAAGCAACTCTAAGTCACATGACACACATGTAAACTTACACCAGTCTCCCTCAATGTCTGCCCTACCCCACACCCTCCAGCCATCAAGACTGACCCCAGGACTTTTATTGTCATCAAAACCTACAACACACCTGGTCTGTCTCGCCTCACTCTCATCAAACACAACGTGTGTGGCTGTCAACACACCAATCTCCCCCCACACTTTGCTGGGTGTGTCCGAGTGTTGACACTTGCCACATGGACAAGTGCCCTTGTTGTCACTCTCTGTGTACTTGTACACATAACTCACCCTCCCCGTCCCTGTCCTCAACACGTCACTTCCTCTGGTGTTATAAAATGGATACTGACCACTGAAGCACGGAACAGACTTTGGTCTCTCTAGACTGGTGTACTTGACCTTTATCAGGACCGTTAGGGCAGACAAAGCTTTGATTACCTCCAACATGATGACGTCATGGTAACGTGAGGGGAGATGATCGAAGTTAAAATCATTAACAGGTATAAAGTTGACATGACCTGGATTCTTCTTACAGCTGGTATAGTGCTTGTGTAAGTCAGCTTCACCTCCATAGCAGATCTCGGCTTCATGATGTCCTGGAGAGGTACAAGGGGAGGTCATTATATACATAAAATAAATAATTTCAATTGCACACAATTAATTAGCACATAACAGGCATCATAACATAAATTATTGACAGTTTCACAATTTAGAAACACATGTAAAGAAAGTTAATGTTTTCTATAATAATTTTTGATTACTTTACATATCTTTTTCCGTTTTTATTTTAAACTAAGTTAAACTTTTAAACACATGGGGCAGATGAAGTAGAGTTCTTATGTTTCCAGGAACTCGGACTAGTGTGGTTAGCACTAAGCCCACTGCCTTTGTTTCGCCAATGTCAGTCCGGCAGAGGCATAGCGACCCTTCCCGGCGCGCATGGCGAACTTTCAATTTTGCTGAACGACCCCACTTGATATTTTGTGAGGTGGTAGGAGAACGCCTAGGGGTGTCAGAAAAAACTAGTAACATCCGAGATCTATCTGCAAATGGGTCAAAACAGACCAGTCGTATTTTGCAGTATAATCTTTGTATTTTATGGGAAAAACAGGTTAATTTCGACACAGATTTCAAGGCACTTACCGTCTGTACATCAGGCTAATTTTTGGCATGCTTATAGGTAAATGGCTAGGTAGTGCGGACAACATGTTGGTTTGACTCAAAGCCCTCAACTTGATACCACAGGGCTAGCAGCTAAACGCTCTATTACACAACCCCGCCATACAAACATAATTAAAACAATGTATGCCTAATTAAAGTTATAAATCCCTATTAGCCACTGACCTGGAATAAATTCCACTAAACTTTTTCCAGATTCTTCTATTTTTCTAGCCTTGACCTGACCTTCATCATTATGTTCTGTAGAAAAATAAAATACATTAACAACATAGGCTATTTTTTACTTTGTAATTTAGTATAGTAATATAACATAATCATGTAGAAATACATTTTTTTCTACTCTATTGTCTTTAGAAACTATTTTAAAACAGTTTATTTTATAAAATAAAAAACTTCAAAGCTTTAAATTTACCTTCACTTGCCAGTACCAGTTGCCTTTTCTTTCCTCCTTTATTCTCCATGTTTGTTATTTCCTGTTAGGAAATACAATATTACCTGCGCTAATTAAATGCCTTAAAGTTTTAACATGTACATGTTCTTTTAATTAATAATTACTTTTTTATTTTTGTGTCAATTATACTAATTTATTAAGTAAAACTGTTCATAAACGTTGGGTGTTTAGTTCGGCACATATTATATTTATAACTTTGATTACTGATATATGAAATGTTTGTAGGTTTTGCTGGTACAATACATTTTATGCCATTAAACAATTGAAAATGTTTGAAACGATTTCAGCTTAGTAAACATTCTCTGAATGACTATTATTTGAAATCTATAGGCCCTATATATAATTCTCTACGTGTGAAACATACAAGACACCACCACGTAAGGGGGGAAGAGAGGGTAGTTTCGAATTCACAAATTATGAAGTACTGAAAAGTAGCAAATAAAACATCTAAATAGTGGCAAAAGCTTACGGCGCGGGTCAGCTTGTTTAAATTAATTGTTTCAATTTTGCTTTATTATTAAAATAAGCATATAAATAGGAGATTGTTTATATTATTGTTTTGAATTTATATACAACTCAATGCAACAAGCCCGCCGTTTGGTTGAGGCCACGACGGGGGGACGTTCTGACTTGGATTCAAAGGGATGACTCAAAATATCATCAGTCAAAGTTACTTTAAAATATCTAACTGTATTTATTACTTAAGCAATATTTGGTGGAATCACACCCACATCGTGAAGGTGTGAATCTAGAAAACTAAAAGTTAGATCTCTAAATTTTTAAAAAATTATAAATCTTGATTTAGAACTTAAGTTTCTAAACCCTCGCTCATCTATAGTATAGACTATAGATCTAGAACCTAGAGTCTAGATACTACTAGAATAACTAGATCTAGATAGATCTAGAATCTAGGTCTAGAAAATTCTATTCTAAAATCAATATTTAGATCTATCTTGCTAGATCTAGCTATTATTTATAACTTTATTAGTAGGCCTAGATGATCTAGTCTAGATAGTAAAGTAGATCGTAAGATTCTAGTAATCTAGGCCAACAAATCTAATCTAGAATCTATCTAGAAGCTAGATCTAGATTGTTCTAACAGTCCTAAGCTAATTTTAAGTAGATCTAGAAGATTCTAAATAGTAAATGTATGGGCCTACATCTAATTAAATAAGTTAAATAAGCCTAAATTGAATATTAATTTCGATGTGTCTAGAGTCTAGACAATTGAAATTTTAGGTTTTAAATTCATTTCAACGCTGGTTGTAGTTTGATTCATGATTGTTGGAATAATGTGCTGCTGCATGGTTCAAATGGAAAGTCCGTCGTCTGCTAAAGTCGCTAGGGTTTGTGGATCTAAAATCTAAGCCTCTAAAAGTCTAAGGCACAGAGATCCTCAAAATCTTACATCGATACTGCAATTATATTTGTACTATTACAACGCTAGGTTTGGTAATAAATAGGAAATAAATAGATTTAGATCTAGATCTAGTTGGTTTTTATTATCATAATATTCTGAAACGTAAACGATAATAAAGTACATCTAGATCTAGAAACCTCGACTACAAAGTCAATAAGATTATATAATATATATAAAGATCTAGATTAGATCTAGATCTAGCAGCGGCGAAACGGTGCGATCTTTATTTACTCTAATCGATTCGACCGGATGTTGCTAGACTACCAAGATATAGGTAAATAGGGTAGGGGGCCTAGTCCTAAAAATGTACAACATGGTTTGTTAGGCTAAAATGTTTGACACAAGGCAGGTGTGTGAATGGGGGGGGGGGGGTTCAATCCGCACTAGGTGACACTAATTTGTTTATGGGTGAAACCAAACAGAAACATTTTCATTCACGGTTAAAATAATATTTAATTCAGTAAAATAATAAAATAGTAGGACAGGGAAGTCAACAAACCGAAATAGAAACAAGGAGGAGGGGTGGGGTGACACCCTCGGTTACCGAACAGAACGACACCCGACCTAGATCTAGATCTATAGTTAAGGAAGTTCTGGGTTACCAATATCGCTATATTAATAAATACCAAAATATAATAAGATATCATAACAGATGGTGCTTAATTTACTAATTTTTACTACTGTACTAGACTAGAATAGATCTAGATCTAGTACTAGAGATTGTAGAAATCCTTGTAGTTAGGCCTATCTATATCAGAAATTACCTTAATTATGTAAAAAGTATTTCCTTTTTCTTTTAAAGTATTTTTTATAAATAAAGCTGTTACAATAAACAGTAAAAAATATTATTGGCTTAAACAGCGTTATGTGGAAGCAAAAAAACATTCACAGTAATAAATAAAATATAATTTGTCAATTAGACATGATCATGTACCTTTTGGCAGCAAAAAGTCAATAAAAGTTTGAAAGTAAAAAAAAATGGAAAAAGGCAAATTTATAAAATCCAAAATGCGCTTTTTAAAAAAAATCTCTTTTGACACCGTAAATTAAAATTTTCTGCTAAGAAGGAAAGAGTTTAAAGTAATTTAGCTATTTGAATAGACTTTAACAAAACTAATGGTGGGTACAGATATCTTTTTAAATTAAGAATTTTATTTTAATCCTTTTAACAGCTTACCGTAGGCTGCCTGATGCTGAAATAAAAATTGGCAAAAGTATTGGGCTTGTAAGTTTATCGTTCTTTCTCGCGTTAATTCATGTCTGGTTAGCCAGGGAGAGATAAAAGTTTTCGAACTAAATCAATTGTTGTGAACGGGATTCCCATTGATAACAAAAAACATGGCGGCTATTTGTTAGTAGGTCCCGCTTCAAGATTTCAAAATCATCAAACGTTCCAGAAAAGCAACAATTGTAAAAACTTTCAACGCTGTTTTGTTCATATGGATGGGAACAAACACATGTGTATGCATTTTTTAATATAAAAGTTTTGTGGCGGTAAGTATATTGATTTTATTTTTGTTGTTGATAGTTTGTCCAAGGCTAGGGGACATTACTCTGACTCTACTCAGTCTTTGCTACGAGACTCAAGATTCCCAGACCTAGAAATCTAGATCTAGATCTAGATCTAGACTAGATCTAGATTCTAGAATCTACCAACTAAGATGTACATTGCTTTAACCTAGTTCTAAGAGTATAAGTTCATGAATTAGAATCTATTAGATCTAGATCTAGATTCTAGATCTAGTATTTTAGTGATCTAGATCTAGATAAAATATTAAAAATATTATTATTAAGAAAAGGATGACTCTCAGTCAGTCTCACTCAGTCTACAACTTAAATCGAATCTAGACTCTAGATCTAGATAGATCTAGATCTATCTAGATCTAGATCAGACTAGATTAGAAAGTTAGATTGACCACATTCTCTTGTTTATGTAAAATTTAAATCTAAACATTTGTATTTACTATTTAGATTTTAAATTTATATCTAGATCTAGATCTATCATCTAGCAGCTAGCTAGATAAAAAATATAGATATAGATTCTCTAGACTTTGACAATAATGTTAATAGACCTAGATTCTAGATCTAGCTAGATTACTGAACTAGACTCTAGTCTAGTACTGATTACTCAGTGATTACTGTTTAATATTTTAGAAGTAGGCCTATAAGAAGTAGCTTGTAGATAGATGGCTAGATACTAAGATAGAGATAGTAGATCTAGATGCAGATGGTAGTATGGTAGGCCCTAGATCTAGATCTAAAATCTAGATAATCTAGTAGATCTAGATAGATTCTAGATTAGATCTAGTTTAGGTAAAACCTACCCTAGTTAAGTTTAGTAAGGCTAACCTGTTTTTTAATTTTAAATTGATTTTTTTAGATCTAGAATCTAAACTAGATCTACTCAAGCTATTTACTAGATCAGTAGCCAGTAGAGTGAGAAGAGTAGTAGTAGAGTGTAGTGTAGAGTACTGTAGAGTAGACTATTGTAGAGTGTAGGTACTAATAACTAGACTACATTTAGGGCTTACAGACTTATCAGACTACAGTGTTGCAATTAGTAGATCTAGTAATATATAGATTAAATTTAGACCTAGTTTGAAATTGTTACAGTAGTGCTACTACTTTTCTAAGTACTAAGTAGTGTAGACTACTAGAAGAGCAAGATGATAGATCTCCATCAAGCTACAATAGAGTTTAGTTAGTAGTTAGTTAGCCGTAGTAATAGTACCAAAAGCAGTGTAAGTAGCACAGTAAAAAAAGAGTATTACTAGTCCAACTACTATTGTATTAGGCCCTTTTATTTTTAGCAAGTTAAAGTTTGGTTAAGTACTAGTCTTCTAGCAAGTTGCCTAGTAGTAAACTTAGAAACTAAATCATGTGTATTAGTACTATTAGACTTGTGGGCTAATCTTGTTAGTCTAGACCAGGGACTATAAATTCTACAATTGATAACTTTCGGCCTTTTAGTATAAGCCTAATTATTAATGAATTACATGGTACAAAAATTAATAAATTGGTCAGGGTCAGTACAGTTACAGTTAGCTGTTAATAGAATTAAGTTTTAGATCTATTGACTACAATTTTTAGTTACAAGTAATGAAAATGAAACTAATAGTTTTGTGATAGTTAAGATATGGTTAACTGTAAACCAGATATTTTAGTTTTTAAGACAAGCTAAGTAGATAGAAAACTGAACCTTTACAATAAAATTGAATAAATGAAACATATATATATATATATATATATATATATATATATATATATATATATATATATATATATATATATATATATATATATATATATAATATCACATATTAGTTAAATAATTATTTTAATATAATATATGGATAAACTTAATAATTTATTATATTTAAATTCCCTAGGTACTTGGCAAGCAATTTTCTCACACTTTACTGTGGCTATTGGTGCTGATCTTGAGCTAAAGGTGAGCTGAATTTTTTTTATAATAAGCCATTTTTGAGCTTAAACCCAAGTTTGAAACCAATTCAGTGTTCTAATTCTTAAAGAATATGTTGCTACTAAGATTATTTACTGTAAGTATTAATATGTATGGCTTGATAGTGGGACTGTCAGACAGTAGCTTTCTATCCTAACATTTCTATCCTAAAAGATAAGAGTTAAGTTCCCTGGCTTTAGTCCTGGTATGATGTCCTAAGTCTCATGAGTACCAGCTCTCATGAGTACCTGGCTCAAGATAGGGAAAAACTAAAGGTGGCTGGGTATATACCTCTGAACACTCTAATTTTAAATGTCACAGAAACAGGTGAATTTTAATTCAACTGCTATATTGGCTGTATGTTTTAATCAATGATTAATTTTTTCATATTACTAAAAGTTGTTAAAAATATTATTTATTTAATTTCTAGGTAAATGGAACAGCATGGATGTGGATTTTTAGACACAAGGAAGCTGAATTTAACTTTTAATGAAGAATTTGAATGATGATTGTCCATTAAAACAAATATTAATCATATACATTATAATGCTGTATTATTGATGCATCTTCTGTTTTAAGTAATTAAAAAACCATCCATTTATGAAATTCTTTTAATATTTTTTTTTAAATTTTTAAATTGTAGTTCTGTTTTGTTATTTGAAAACAATGATGAAAGTATACTGAACTGCCATTGAGATATTTATATAAATGCTATTGTTTATAGTTTAATTATTTCAGAAGCAACTATATTGACATCAAAACTGAATTTCATTGTACATTAAGTATAAAAGCTTACCCGCAAACCAGTCCATGTCAATAATTTATTGACATCCAAACATTAAATTTTTTTAACAGACTACTTTCATATGGGATAAGAAACATTTAATTTTGAAATTCATTGGTTTATTAAATTTTAATGGAGCTGAAACTAAAACACTGGGTACAAATTTATTATTATTTTGTTTCTCAGAAAATTGCAAATTTTGAACATAAGAACTGTGGGAAGTAGGCAATGATGTTAAAATATCTCTTGAAACTTGAAGAAATTGTGGAAGGTTTAGAGATAGAAAACAAAATTTTAGAAGATGATGTTTGAAATAATGGTAAAATATCTTCAGCAATTGTCACTGAATAAATATTTTCATTAGACAAATCACATTTAGGTATAGAAGAATAAGGTATGTCTTCAGATTTTCTTATCAGCGAAGATCCTGGGTGATTCTCTTTGTTACCTTCGGTCAAACGACAAGCCAATTCTGGAAAATTCATTGGGTTTTTTGCCTGGGCAGCTAAATATATTTAAATTAAGTTCATGCAAGGCTTTAGAAACATCAATTGGATAAAACTCTATAATTTCATTAACTTTTTATTACTATCAGCTCGAAAGGAATAATATAAATAAGTTACAAATCATCAATAAATTAAATTTGCAGATATTTCCATTTCACCAAACTTTCTCTAAGTCATAATACATATTTTAAATTCATGGCATTTTGTTAGGCTAGAAATGTTGACTTTCATTTACCACAATAATCTGATTATATAAATTAACAACATTGCATTAGGATTACCCAGCTATCATACATTCTTCTTTTTACTGCCCTCCTTTATGAGGGGGAGATAAAAATCATCATTTAATGTGTGACGCAATTTACAGATGAACCCTCTCTCTCTCTCTCCCTCCCCTATATATATGTATATCTATATATATAATCTCTAAAATCATGTTGGTACCTCTACCTGTTTGAATGTTAGGCCCCTTTCCTTCAATTGTTTCTGTGTGGATCTTCTCCATGGGGGTCATCCATGAATGACGTCACGCTTTTTTGACGATTTTTACCTCCTCCCCTCTGTCACACATCGTCACAAAAAACCAGACCCCCCCCCCTAAAATGACGTCACACATTACTAGATTCTAGATCTAAAATACTACAGTTGCCTACACTCTAGATTTAGTTCTTAAGTTCTACAACAAGACCACACTAAACTTCACTAGATCTCTAGATCTAGAATAATCTAGATTCTATATATAAATTGATATTGAACATATTCTAGTCTACCTGTCTTAAAGTAAAAAGCCTATTTATTAGGCCTAATTTTAGTAATTTAGTAATTAATTCCACTCAACTACACTGTAAAATAAAGAATCTAGATCTAGAATCTAAATCTCTAGACTACTCTTGAGTCTATAAATTAAAAATAAATCCTGTATGTCGTATGTTACTGTCTAAGTCGAAATTTTCAAGAGGGCTTTTTTTTAAAGTCATAGATCTAGATATAGAATCTATATATAGAATTCTAGATCTAGAAATCTAGATCTAGGCTATATATATATAGGGGTCATCCATAAATGACGTCACGCTTTTTTGGACGATTTTTACCTCCCCCCCTCCCCTCCGTCACACTTCGTCACAAAAAGCCAGACCCCCCCCTAAAATGACGTCACACCTCAACCTACAACCCCCCTCAAAATTGCAGTTGAATTTTTTTTAAACATTGATATTTTTCCAAAATCTTGTCTAAACTATTACAATTTATTAAAACAGTTATCTAAAACGCGAAATAACGTCTAAAATTCGTTTTCTAACATTGCTTTTTTATAATGCAAAAATGTGACGTCGCAACATCTGACCCCCCCCCCCTCCCCCTCATCACACATCGTCACAAAATTACGGACCCCCCCCCCCCCTCCCCCCTACGAGTGTGACGTCATTTATGGATGACCCCATATATATATATATATATATATATATATATATATATATATATATATATATATATATATATATATTTATATATATATATTGAAATCTTTTACTTTTAGGCCTATAAATCTCATATTTTATATAAATGTATTATTATTATACAGGGTGTATTCTAGATCTATCTAGATCTATATAAAATATAATATAATTGTGCGTGTGTGTTATTTTAAACTTAATTTACTTAAAACAACTCATTGTCCGACAATTTTTCGGAGTTTGTTTTTATTCCAAAAGCGAAAGAAGATTTCATAACTTAAAGAAAATTGCGCTAAAAAAATTAATAAAAAATATTCACATTTGGTTTGAAAAACAACAAAAACGCTAGCTGGCAACTACCGGAGCGAGAACTTGGTAAGCTACTTTAACAACTTACAAGCCCAATAAGCTACGCCTCGTTCGCTTTGTATGCTGGTATACTTGAAATAACCGATTAGGTGGCCACCAGGCCTAAAAATAGAAATGAAATTCCTGGGATTGTATTTTTCAGTTCGTATTTTCCCGAAATTACGTAATTGATTTATCAAAAGCCAATCTAAATCTATGCATTTAAGGAATATAAAATAGGCCTATACATTTTGGGGTCGTCCTCAAATGACGTCACACTCGTAGAGGGAGGGATAGGGGGTCCGTAATTTTGTGACGGTGTGTGATGAGGGGGAGGGGGGTCACTTTTGTGCATTATAAAAAAAGGAATGTTAGAAAACGAGTTTTAGCCGTTATTTAGCGTTTTAGAAAACGGCTTTAATAAATTAAAATAGAAATTGATCAAAATACTCTATGTTGACAGAGTTCTGACAAGATTTTGAAAAAATATCCATGTTTTAAGAAAAATTCAACTGCAATTTTGAGGGGGGGGGGGGGTGTAGGCTGGGATGTGATGTCATTTTAGGGTGTGGGGTCTGACTTTTTGTGACGTGTGACGGAGGGGAGGGGGGAGGTAAAAATCGTTTAAAAAGCGTGACGTCATTTATGGATGACCCTTTAATTCACGTTAGAAATCTCCAATCTAATTAGCATTTTAAAAAAAATTATTTTGTGAACTGAAGCAGTTTCTTGTTTTACGGCATCATAACATGACAAACAATAGCCCACCACCAATTCTCAAAGATTTTTCGCGAAGTTCTATAAATGGATTATAGGAAAAATAATTTTATATTTTGTCATTTTAGTTTCTCTAACTTTGTGTCCCTGATTATTTGTATGATATTTAGTAATTCAAAGTTGTCAAGTTTCTCTCAGTATATTGTATGTGATTGGTGAGTGACCTGTTTGCACATGATAGACGATACACAAATTTCATGTAGGCATACAATAGTTTCTATTTTTAAACTTTGTAATATTCTAAATATAGACCAAATACTCTCGCTATTTTTACATCTTCTGGCCCTTGCCCTAACAACGTGCATGCATCTAATGTTGTTTTATTTCCTTATATCTAATAGAATTAAATAGGCCTACTTGTTGAGCGTGTTCCTCGTTTTGATGTTGCCATACAAAATTAAATAACGAGGATCAGATTCCTAAACCAAGTCTCGAACCCAAACATTTCACTCACCAAGTAAACCACCAGCTTGCGCCATACTGCAGAAGTTTTCGTGGGAAGGGAAGTAATCAGAAGAAAATTGTTTACATTTTGTTTCTTGTTAATATGTCAGATGGTTAAGATGGGAGGGGGATAACTCCTGCATCAAAACACAGTTTTTGGGTTTTTATTTAGTTAATTGTTCAAGGCATAGAAGAGGGACTAAAGAAACATCAAGATTACATTTTACAGCTGGTCGTATTAAAATTGAAGTGGGGTACTTTCGTAATATATTTATGTAAGGCGAGTTATGGTACATTAATGTAGCTGTTACCTAGTCTAATGGTTGGTCTAGACAAAAATGTCCTACTTCAACCTATTGTCCCCTGGTTGATCGAGACAAAAATGTCCTACGTCAACCTATCACCTCATGGTTGATCAAAAATATGTAGAGCTGATTGGCAGAAGTGTTTGCATGTCTGACTTGATGCACGGAGGGCAAGGCGATTTGGTGCCGCGGGAATTGGTAGGTTGAAATATCACTTTCTATAAGGTGGGTGTAAGGTGGTGTCTAAACATGTGTTGGTCACATCACTATAGCTTTTATTATACGATAAACAGCTTTAGCTGACCACACTACATACATAACACAACAGCTGCAGTGAGACAGACTACATACATGACACAACAGCCGCAGTGAGACACTACATACATGACACAACAGCCGCAGTGAGACACTACATACATAACACAACAGCCGCAGTGAGACACTACATACATGACACAACAGCCGCAGTGAGACACACTACATACATGACACAACCGCAGTGAGACACACTACATGACAGAACCAGAAACAGTCCAATTAACAACGTTGGAAAATGTAGAGATGAAATATATTCCTGGGCAATGAAAATGGCCACCTACAGAATTCTTTCTCTATAGCTGCTCATGTCACTTTGACTACTTGTTACATGTAGGTTTCTATCATATAAACACAACCTAAACAAACACAAATCTAGGTAAACAAACACAAGTACTCCAAAACATTTGAAAACGTTTTTTTAATTAAAATATACTTTTAAAATTTAAATTGAATATAAAAAGACATTTTTGATGAGACATAGAAATTTTTGTCATCAATTGGATGAGTATTTGTACAGGATGTGGAACAGTTGTGTGTACTCTGTAGCCTTGTGGTCATTACATGAATAGATGACATGTTCATGTTGGTTCACCCTACTGACATACTCATGTTCATGTGGTCTAACATACAGATAAAACCAAATTCATTTTGGTTTTAACATACAGACATATCCATGTTCATATTGATGTAACTCAGATAAAACCATATTCATATTGTTCAACATACAAAACCATGTTCATACTGGTGTTAACATACAGACATACTTATGCTCATGTTAATGTTAAGATACAGACATACCTATGTTCATGTTAATGTAATACATAGATAAAACTATTCAAACAGCATGATGATGGAAAGTTGGAAGACATGAATGATGGAATGATACAGTTCTATCTGTTCTAGAGATCTTTAATGGTATGATGTTATCACTGAGGGAATGCTGAAACCCAAATAGGTCTATGATGATAGGAGGGAATCACTAAGGGAATACAACAGTCCTATTGCTGTATGCTAGCGAATGGACTCATTTTTTGTGCTACATGCTAATTTTCAATCAATTTATTATTGCTTCTAATGTGTCCCTAAATTGCAGTAAAATACAGTAAACAATGTTTGTGCTAAAACAAAATGAGCCACTGTTGGAATGCTTAGTTCTACAGCACTTGATACATGGGATGTGTGGAAGACACAGTGAGTGGAATGCTAAAATCTACAGTGTTTGTTTTACATTATTTGTTGAATTTGTAGGTGAAAAGTAATGAAACACCTAAGGCATCCTGCACATGTTACAATACAAAATGGAACATTTTTTAACCAACCCCTATCCCATATAAAACTTCTATCCACCTAATTTTGTACATCACTGCTAGGAACCACCATGCCCTTCCCGCCTATCAAGTTAATAAAAACAAATTTTTAATATAACAATGGAAGCTACATAATTTAAAGAAAATTTCCCGATACCTGTTGAGTGTTACATTACATAAATTAGAAACAGTAGCAAAGCCCCATATTTGGTTCTTAGTTAAAAGATTTAACCTCTCCGAACAGTAAACATACTTTTTTTTTTTACATCAATGCACTATTTTAATATAACACAACAACCCCCCCCCCCCCCCCCCCCCCCAGAAATACAACAGAAATTTTTTTTTTTAAGAAACATCCCAATCCCATTGTGTTTTAAAATATCTAGTCTTTGTGTTGTGTAGAACTTGAGTATTGTTTTTTTTTGTGCTAACCGTCTGGAAGATTCAACTGATGGAATGCTACGGTTACTGTACCCATCCACCAAATACATTTGTGCAACAAATTGGGAATCTGTAAGCCAACATTGTAACTACTTTTACAGAAACAACAGAAGGAAATTTTTAGTTAAAAATAAACAAAAATTAATTGTCAATAGATAATAACCTCAGTATAGTTATAACAAAAATATGCCATATTGACTAATCGTTGTTGTATACAACATTAAGACATAAAGAAAATAGATATCTCCAGTTTTACAAAAAGTAAAAGCATTCTATACATGGCTACCTGGTCAAATAAAATATCCTTACATCAGTTCAGGGAAATTACATGTTAAACTTTACATCAGTACAGGGAAATGGTAGGTTGAACTTTAGTACAGGGAAATGGTAGGTTAAACTTTAGTACAGGAAAATGGTAGGCTAAACTTTACTTCATTACAGGGAAATGGTAGGTTAAACTTTAGTACAGGAAAATGGTAGGCTAAACTTTACTTCATTACAGGGAAATGGTTGGTTAAACTTTACATCAGTACAGGGAAATGGTAGTTTAAAAATGATTGTTAATTAAACCTATGTAGCCAACATCCCTAGCAAACATTTATTTAAAAAAATAAAACCGCGACACCACCTAAAAATATTAGTGTAACTTATTTGCAACTTGAACTAGAATAAATACCTTGAATAGGCTGATAATGATATGAAATCTTTTTCAGCATTTTAAAATTATTCCCATTGTGTCTATTATTTCAATGTTTTGTGAACTAAAAAATACACTGTTATCATAGAAGCCAGAGAGTTGAAAAAAAATCTACACAAAACCAATTGATGTACTTTACATACAAAACATCCATATGAACCATACTATAGCAAAACAAACATCATTGTAACGATTTCAGAAAGAAAATATATACAAGATGTAAAGAATTATGAAAAAAATGTTATAATTGTGATTGTATTAAAATTTCAAATGAATGATTAAAACAATGAGAACTGGCAAAGTTGTAAAATAATCAACATCAAATCAAATGACAACAAATGGTCCCATTTATCCCATGCAATAAATAAAATAGGACACTAAATGTGACTAGCTTGTTCACAAACATAAAATGGTGTCAAATCAGAAATCAAGTAAAAAAAAAAGTATTAATGCCTATCTTGGCAGTGGAACATGTTCATGTTAAAATTTAGACCAATAATGCCTGGATTTGCAATGTAAATATATGTTGAAAACATGCTGCAGCTAAAATAATGGCACTGCATATAAACTAAATTATAATGCATGATTAGGATAATGTAAGGCTAAATCTGAGTTACAGAGAGTAATTATAGCTTGACATTGGTCTGCAATAGCAGAGGTAAATTAGTACAAAATTATTTGATTAAGGCATTAGATTAGCACCATTTACTCATGCATAATTGCTAATACAATTAATTTTATTGTATTGAAGTTTTGTGCTGTTGATTGTAACCCATAGTATAGCATGGAATAAAGAAAAAATAAGTAAAAATAGTAATACACAAAGCTTCTCACTTATTTGTAAGTAGACGAGCAAAAACTTTTAGAAAAATTAGAGTTAGAGCTTGGTCACTTGTGTCCCAATCAAGATAAATGACTATATACCAGCTCCTGTAAAAAACTATTGAAAATTCTAGAAGTTTTAAATTAACCCCCTACAGTCTAAACACTAAAACTATTTTACTTCACACATGGCAGAGTGAGAAGACAACTTATTTTCTACCATGACTCTTTTTAAAATAATTTTATTGAAAAAAAATTTTTTTTTGTAAGTTAAAAATAATAATAAACCCAGAAAAGAGTAAAATAAACAACAACACAGCTTTTACTATTATTTCAATTAAAATGCTAAAATGTTTTTAAAAATGTCAATCTAGTCTCAGGAACTATATAATGTACCTAATATTTTTTATAGTGACTCGCTCTTCAGCTTTGTGAAAAGAGGGGTCTAATGTATAAGCAACCTACTGTCCAGGTCTTGCAGTTGATTTTCAAGGTGCAACTATCCAATAATCTATTAGATTATAGGGTAAAGTAATTTAATTACTTAATTTCGATTTGTTACAATATAATCAAAACCCCACTCAACAGCAGACACTTGATTATGATAGCCTGTCATTTAAAAACAAAAATTCTTTTAAAAAAAAAATTCATAAAAATGAGCAGCTAGTGACAGAGCAGCGAAATATAAATATTTCCTTTTTCTGTTGGTATATTCAGAATCTCATTGCCATTAAGATTTAAGTTACAAAGCATAAATGGAAATGCTATTGATAGACCTCTACTATTATTTCAACTACTATTGTTACCGTTATTGAATAAATTGAAATTAAATTAAAACCTTAAGTCTGGGGTATCAGACTGAATCACTAAGGAAAATCTAAGGTGCATAGGACTGTAAAGGGTTAACACACAGATGAACTGATAGCACTCAAGTGTCATAAACCTAACCTGGGTAAATTATTGTATCAAGTAATCTATATATAATTCTCTTAGGGGCAGATAATTTAGTTTTTAAACAATATGAAACTAAGATAATAAGTTCTACTTGACATTTTCATTGTCGTCCGTAAACTGCTGCTTACACTGGGCGGGGTGTGGGGGGTAGTGTTGAATTCACAAATTATGAATTGTTGATAAGTAGAAAATATACTAGATAGCGGCGAATGCTACGCCGCGGGTCAGCTCGTAATTAAATAATTTCAAAAGTTAAATTCTGCACATAAATCGGCATATTGCTTACTGTAGAAAAGAGCCTAGTAAGTATACAAATACTATTTTAAAGATGCACACAACTGTAAGCTGCAAATAGCAGAATTTCATAAAGCCAAAGTAAGGGTATCCCAGTCCAGCTTGTGTAACTAACAAAAATAAATGGATTATTATTTGGATTATGAGCATTGTTTTACATACATCCACACTAAAGCTGCTTGTTATTTGCTGGCCAATCAAAGTTACTCTATGTTGTGGTGTAAGCCTTCTGTTTCGTTGTAAGTCAAGAAGTTGTAAATACAGGAAATGCAACAATGGTTTGGTCCCATCATCAACAACATTTTAACAAAATACACATCATTACAATATTAATGTCAAGATTCTATAGAATTAATTGGCAATGAGATATTTATGCATACAGAAGAGAGAAGACTTAAACAAATAACAACAGAAAAAATGCATGCACACCGTAGCTAAGAAAGAATGAGTAAGTTAAAGAAGAAATAAATATGCACACAGCAAAACAAGTTATAAAAAAAAAAGTATTACATAAAAAACAAGACACTCATGTACAGAAAAGAAAAAATTATTACAGCAAAACATTTCTCCTGAGATGGCTCAACAGGTTATAAACAGGGGCAGTAACTGCTGGTGAAATACTTTATCCCAGATAAGTTATTTATGGTAGTAGAATGGATAAAACATGTATCAAATATAGCTTTAGATAGATTGGCATAAGATGGCAGCAGTGTTAGAGTTTGTAAGGCAGAGGGCAAAAAGGTAAAATTTTAAGGACAGAAGGCAGAAAGATATAGCCTACCTCTAATGGCAATTAGAGAGACAGGTAAGTTACTGGGTAAATAATTAAATGCTTCAATAAATTTAAGGCCTTGTCATATTTGAGCAATTCAAATTAGAAAATCTCAATTTTATATAAATCCTGGACATTTCTACCATAACAATTATTTAATTGTATATAAATCCTAATTTTTTAGTCTGCATCACCACGAGTTAATCCTATCTCACAATCCACTCTGTGAAAGTTTCCCATGTATATCAGTGATGGTGGTTCATTTCCTTCAACTCATCAGGGTCCAGCTCCAGCGTGGACACAGGCAGTTTCCCATTGGTCCTTGCCTCACGCTGCCTCTTCTCATTAGGCATGGTGGTGTGTGGGTTGTCCTTGAACAGACTCCACATGTGGTTGACTAAATCACTCAGCACCAGCTCCGATGAGTTTTTAGCCACAATTTTAAGTACAAATATTCCGTCATCTCTCAGATATTCATCCGCAAACTTCCTGGCGAATTTGGCGTCATTTTTGTTGCGGATGTTGTCCCCGATTTTCAAATATTTTTTAATGTAGTGATAGCGGTTGCTGGCAAACAGGACTTGGTACAGCCAGGAGAGATAATTTCCTACGGTGAGGACAGCCACTAGAAGGTACCAGAACCACAAGAAGATGAAAATCTTCTCGTTAAACAAATTAATTGGAAGCACGCACTGCACGGTGTACCTCTGGACATTGGCCAGCTGACGTATCTCAAAGTCACACAAGGTCACGCGCGGGAACCTCGGAGAGTCCTTGAACTCACCAGTCTGTATCAGACTCTGTAGGACCTCAATGCCGTAGACACTGTAATCCATGGACAGAAACACATTCAGGATAAAAAACTGAAACACGATGTTGGCCACATAGAGGAGCTTAATGAACAGGTAAAACCCAGTCAAGAACCTGCCGTCACGCTTGGCGAACCAGAAACAGAAGACGTTTGAGAACCTCTGGCGGATGCGGACCAGCAGGTTGTAGTGGTACTGGCGGTGTGCCTTGAGCCACCTGTCCAGGTACTTGGCCACCTGGTAGATGATCTTGTCCCGGTCCTCAGGCTTACCCAGCTGGGTGCTCTCTGCCATTGAGATCAGGCGGTCCATGTTCAGTCCACCTGTGTCATTCAGCATCTTCCAGATCAGGTTGGGGAGCTGGGCGAGAGAAAAAACAGGTTTAATTAGGCTAGTGGGTAGGTTGGGGAGCTGGGCGAGAGAAAAAACAGGTTTAATTAGGCTACTGGGTAGGTTGGGAGCTGGGCGAGAGAAAAAACAGGTTTATTTAGGCTAGTGGGTAGGTTGGGCAGCTGGGCAAGAGAAAAAACAGGTTTAATTAGGCTAGTGGGTAGGTTGGGGGCTGGGCGAGAGAAAAAACAGGTTTACTTAGGCTAGTGGGTAGGTTGGGGAGCTGGAGGAGAGAAAAAACAGGTTTACTTAGGCTAGTGGGTAGGTTGGGGGTAGACAAGAGAAAAAACAGGTTTATTTAGGCTAGTGGGTAGGTTGGGGGTTGGGCAAGAGAAAAAACAGGTTTAAATAGGCTAGTGGGTAGGTTGGGAGCTGGGCGAGAGAAAAAACAGGTTTATTTAGGCTAGTGGGTAGGTTGGGGGTTGGGCAAGAGAAAAAACAGGTTTAAATAGGCTAGTGGGTAGGTTGGGAGCTGGGCGAGAGAAAAAACAGGGGTTTACTTAGGCTAGTGGGTAGGTTAAGGGTTGGGTGAGAGAAAAAACAGGTTTATTTAGGCTAGTGGGTAGGTTGGGGGTTGGGCAAGAGAAAAAACAGGTTTACTTAGGCTAGTGGATAGGTGGGGGAGCTGGGCGAGAGAAAAAACAGGTTTATTTAGGCTAGTGGGTAGGTTGGGGGTTGGGCAAGAGAAAAAACAGGTTTAAATAGGCTAGTGGATAGGTTGGGAGCTGGGCGAGAGAAAAAACAGGTTTACTTAGCCTAGTGGGTAGGTTAAGGGTTGGGTGAGAGAAAAAACAGGTTTACCTAGGCTAGTGGGTAGGTTGGGAGCTGGGCGAGAGAAAAAACAGGTTTAATTAGCCTAGTGGGTAGGTTAAGGGTTGGGTGAGAGAAAAAACAGGTTTACCTAGGCTAGTGGGTAGGTTGGGAGCTGGGCGAGAGAAAAAACAGGTTTACTTTGGCTAGCAGTTATGATATAATGTTCAGTTCATTTTACTGTTTAGTAAAAATGACATTATGCTCGGCTATGCTGCATGAAGCAAGCAATAAATTTATAGCTGCAATGAATTTTAGCAATTTTAAGGTAATTTAGGGAACAAAGAGAATCATTATCAAAACTTCAATAGCAGAAAACGGGAAATGAAACAATTTTTGTTGAAACATGCAACAAATACACTTTTTTAATAATGATTTCTTTGCCATTTTATTGTCAAAGCTAATCTCTAGAGATAAAAAACTTAACTGCAGGTTTGCAAGAGACAGTAAGTTTATTTAGCCTGGTACAACCATTAACATACCCATATATAAAACTTGTAATAAATACGCTGAATAACTCTAAAACACGCTCAGTATAAACATAAGGGTGATAAGCATAGTCATAAACCTAAGTACAAACAGCTAACATTTGTAAAAACATTTATAATGATATCGTCAGAAAGGAGAGTTGTGCATTAAATGTAGGCAGCTAACGATGTTTAAAGTAAAATTTGTAACCATGTTTCATTTAACTGCACATCTGTTGGAACATTCTGTTCTGATAATTCAAATATAACATATGTGATATAAGAACCTTTGATATGTGATATAAGAACATCAGATATATGATATAAGAACCTCTGTGAAATAAGAACGCCTGATGTGTGGTAAATTATAAACATTTCTGATATGTGATATAAGAACCTCTGATGTGAGATTTAAGAACCTAAGATGTGTGATACATTACAAAATATTACCTTAAACATGAGAGCCTGAAACAAGAAGATGATGGGGACCCACTGGTAGTAGCTGATCTCTTTCTCCTGTCTCAGGTGTATGTTGGCTGGGATGGCATCGTCTATGGGCACGTAGTACGTGTTGCTGATCCAGCAAATATTCTTCGTATAGCTCACATACGAACCTACATTGGTCGAAGTGTTTTACATAAAATTAAAATTATCTTTATGATTACAATTAAAATAATAGAATTATAAAACTAGTTTAAAAATAGTCTTGAAAATACCTTGAAAAAACAGATTATCAACAAAAAAGCCCCACCTACCTATTAAACTAAGATAATCAACAAACAGCCCCCACCTACCTATTAAACTAAGATAATCAACAAACAGCCCCCATCCCCTTACCTGTTAAACTGAGATAATCAACTAACAAGCCCCCACCTACCTGTAAAACTGACATAATCAACAAACAGCCCCCACTTACCTGTAAAACTGACATAATCAACAAATAAGCCCCACCTACCTGTGAACTGAGATAATCAACAAACAAGCCCCACCTACTGTAAACTGAGATAATCAACTAACAAGCCCCCACATACCTGTAAACTGAGCAGGACACCAACACTGGATGGGGTCTCCCACATACTGGGCAGAACTGACCAGTATGGTGAAACAAACCAAGAGGACAACTGTCCAAAGATGACTAACTCTGTCTGCCCAGTCGTCATCTTTGCTCCCCTGGATCCTTGACCAGCTGGCAAACCCAAGTAAAGACATTCTGCTGTGGAAACAACACCAGAGTATATAAAGTCATCATCTGGTTTTTCTTTAGTGAAAAATACTTCAAGTCATCATCATTATCTTTTCCCTTTTGTGCCCTAGAGACATTGGGTTTCATATATCAAGTCAAATCATCATAATTTCTCTTCTATGCCCAACACATGGGGCCATATATATATATATATATATATATATATATATATATATATATATATATATATATATATATATATATATATATATATCTGTACTACACCCATCACATTATGAGGTATCAACATAACTGGATGTATGACCAAACAATGACATATAAACAAAAAACAACTATCAATAAAACTGGATGTGCAACCACAACTTGAAGTATAAGCAAAACATATTAATATTGTAACTTAGCATGGTCTACCAAAATATCACACATGTGATCATCCAAAATTCCAAACACCGAACTCAATTAATGACAAAATATTCAGAAAACAAAAAGCATGTACTGTACATTGTACAAAACATGTTACCTTTAAAATGACATAAACAAAATGCAGTTAATTATTAAGGTGTCAAATACAGAATGATTAAAACAGAATGTTGGCACTAATACCTCTAGCAGCTGCATACGAACATGTTTAAAACTATGGGGAGAAAAAAATTCCACTTGAATTCACTGAAATGTTATAACTAATGTAAAGTGGAAATAAGTGTGTGGTGTGGGTGTGTGGGGGAGGAGTGCAATGAACATGCCAACATCTGTCATGGATTAGCCAATGCTTTTAGGTTTAGAGTTTCACATTACCTCTCTAGAACCAGATTGTTTTAACTCCACATTTCATTTTCAAAAATGTTCACAACAAGGCTTTAACTTTAATTTTTTTTTCCTTAACATTTCTATATTAAGCACTTGGTAGAATTAAATTGTAATAATGTTTTGCCATGATGCCTTAGCATTAGCAGATCCACATATAAATCTAAATAATATAATAGGACACAAAATCACATATAATACCAATGTTGAAAACACATTCATGTCATATTATTCATGCCTGAAATTATATTAAGGCTCAGAACCACATAACCTAACAATATACCACTTCCAAAAACATCTGGCGTATGTAATATGTCATTGTCTTAAAGCATAAGACATATAATCAGATAAACTCAGAATAAAATCTCTCACAACTGATGTAACAGTCCTTATGTGGACATACAAGTATTATTATTATGAAATGCAATGATTTAGCAATGTTTCTGTATTAATTTATAGATTAGGCCACACAAAAATTAGGCTGTGGAGTTTTAGCCAGATTTTAAAGCTGAAAGTCCAAATGAATGTTAGGTATAGGGCCCTACTACTACAAACTTCTGTACAATCTGGAACCTTCTGATTAGGTGAACACAGAGAACAAAATAGATTCAAGTTTGATGGGATATGAACAACAAGAATCAACTTGAGATGGAAACATGAACTTAAATTTAAGTACCTTTAACAATCTCAGATCAACTTTATTTGAGAGGATCAACACACTTGACCATAGGCTAACAGAGGATCAACAACTTGACCATAGGCTAACAGAGGATCAACACACTTGACCATAGGCTAACAGAGGATCAACACACTTGACCATAGGCTAACAGAGGATCAACACACTTGACCATAGGCTAACACAAAGGATCAATGTACCTGACCACTTTTACTTAGAGAAGGAATGGAACAACTTTGTGAACTTTAACTGACCCCTTGCGTCAGTCAAGCTTATTGAAGCTATTGGGCTGACGTCACAGGTGATGGTAGCAGATTTGGGTGTAGTACAGTAGAGTGTAGGGGGAGGCGTGTTGAAATGGCAATACACATCCAGTAATCATGGATCTCTATATTAATTAGTAATTAGTCCACGCATTAGGGCTTATAGTCTAGCTAGTCTCGTGTTATCGGACATACACTGGCATATCTTAAATAAACATTGAATACAATCAATAGACCTGCCCTTTGTCGACTACATCTAGATTCTACTAGATCTAGATCATCTAGTCTAGATCTAGAAAAATCTAGATCTAAAAGTCCAATCTATCCGCTACCCTAAGTATCCCACCCTAATGCACTACCAACCATATGATTTTTTCTGATGAAATACCGATGTCCGAAAATAGACTCTCTCAAAAACAGGTGTGTTAGGTTGTTAATATTAATAATATTGTAGTCTCGACTAGTTTTGTGGTTATAAATTAAATTCTAAGTTGAAACTAGGGCGTATGGTAGGACTAGGGTTGGGGTTAGCGGTTAGGCCATTCATCAGGGATGGGGTTAGTAGGCCTAATAGGCTAATAGATCTAGATCTAGAATCTAGTTATTGATTGACATTAGCAAGCAATGTGTTATTTTAGTTGACAACCAGTAGGCCTAACCTCTTTTAGAAGAAGATTCTATTATCAGGACAGACACTGGTGAACACCCCCCCCCCCCCCCCCAGTGATAAAAAGAGCGTGGCTTAGGATAAAATTATTAAATCTAAAAAAAAAATTGGTAGGCCTAGGCCTAAATTTAACTAAATTATTAATATTAGGCCTAGACTAATTAAATTAGATTCTAAAATATAAATCCTACAAACTACTAGATCTAGATCTAAATTAAAACGTTTTAAAATGAAAGTAAAAAAACTGCTCACCTATTTAAAAATGACAATCAAACTGTTATTGCGTACACCTTGCGCTTCCGTGAATGAAGTCATTGACTTTACTACAACCGTAGCCAACCATGTGTGACGCACCACCTATCCTTCTTGCCTCAGCTAAATGAAGAAAAGTGATTCTATTTTTAGGCCACAACTTACTTTGACGTCCTTAAAACTTCCGGTGCTAACCAGTCCAGCCTAGATTTGCCTCACATAGGCCTGGATACTAACTTCTTACTTTGAACTTAGGACCTTAGTAACATCATAGATCTAGTTATATTAGATCTCTATCGCTAAATAAAATCCAGCTTCTATAGAAAAGACACTGTTCTATTAAATCACATAGAGTCTAGATCTACACAGGAGGTTTGTTTTGAAAGTTATGTAACGCAAACTGAAGGTTGTTAATTTAAACTCTCCCTCAAGAGAAGTCCGCTCGAATCAGAACAACACGTCTGCTAGGCATGGGATACAACACGGGTTAACACGTCACGTGGCCTGTAAGTCACATGACAACGCCCCATTCACGTGCTGGGGAAATAGTGTATTGACACAGCAAGCCCGCCTAAGCCTAGGGAAGTAGAGAGTAAACTTCCTTATCATAAATCTCTTGACAGTGTAGGCTAGTATCCCTGAGCGGTGTGTTGGGAAATTACAATTTACATTGTCGAATCGGCAATTTAAACGAAATACAAAAAAAAAAAAAAAAGGTTTAAAATGACGTACATAATATTAAAGCTATATCATAATCAAGACTAGGTTATATTTTTAAAATGCCAGCTTTTTAGCCCATACAGATGATGGTAAATTGAGAAAAAAAATCGATCTTTGGCACTTGATGAAGTGCTAAATATATAAATAGATCTGGTGAACATCTGTTGCCAAGATGGAAAAAAAAACGTCAGATTTATTTCTAGGTCAGGCCATCTATTTATATTTTTAATATAGCCGTCATAGAATGTATTCCTTACTTTATCGTCTGTATCTCGCTTCACAGAGGCGGTGAAATAATTTAGATTTAGCTCAAGTTAGCGCAACTACATTGCTTGAATCCTGTACCACACCACCTAACAGAGATCGTTTAGCTCAAGTCAGCTAAAAATGTTTTAGCTCAATCAGCTCACTAGAGTCTACATTATTTGAATCCTGGTTACAGCGGGATAAAATATGTTGTTGTAAGTGTAAGCTTTAATGACGACAAGCATCCCCTCATCATGCGTATTGATGATTAGCTCAACTACAATGTTGTTGAGCCTCTTTACGATTTTGTCGATTGAGAATAGGACCCTTCCCGTCATTCTCAATCGACATAAAATGTACTATTTACTGATATTCATGGGGGGGGGGGGGGTTGACATCTTTAGCGCGGATGTCCGGGGTTTTAAGAGTATTTGGCTGATATTATTGTTTCAGTAAACAGCAGTCGAATCCGTTTTAAGTTAGTAGACCGTCCCTGAGTCCACCCAGCACTGATGGGTACCTAACTGATGTTAGGGAAAGTAAAGGCGGCTGGGCATAATAATGACCACACTATCCCTTCATATGCCGAGGTTACATAAACAGGTGAACTCTACTTGCCCCATAAATCGTCAGGTTTGGAAGGGGAACTTTTCTTTTTACACAGCAGTCAGATTGTGTACACAGATGTTTGGTACAACACAAATCAGACATACAGAAGTACACAACATACACATCACAAAACATTTGCATCAGTCATCAAATAACATACTGCACACATCAAACAACATACATTACGCATCATACAACATACATAATACAACATACAAAAAACATCAAAAACATACAACACACACCAAACAACATACATCACACACAAAAACATACATCACACATCATACAACAAACAACATACATCACACACAAAAACATACATCACACATCATACAACAAACAACATACAACACACATCAAACAACATACATTACACATCATACAACATACATAATACAACATATAAAAACATCAAGAACATATAACACACATCAAACAACATGCATCACACATCAAAAACACACAACACACATCAAACAACATACATTACACATCATACATCTAACAACATACAACACACACCAAACAACATGCATCACACATCACTCATCAAACATCAAATAACTTACACCAGACGTCAAACGACTTCAACACTACACCAAATAACACGATTACACAATCAACGCCAGTTTTTGTGTGTAAAGGTTGAGGTGGGTGAGGGGCGGTGGAAGTACAACTAGCTGTAGTGTAGAGGAAACGTCTTTTACTATTAGCGTAGTGTACATGGCGTCATTGCATCGGAGTACAGGAAAGTTCAATGGGAACTAAAGGTTAAAACTGACATTTTATGGCAACTAAAAATTGACTAACATTTTACGGCAACTAAAATTGACTAACAATCAACGGGCAACTAAAATTGACTTAAAACTAACATTTAACGGGCAACTAAAAGTTGGCTAGAGTTGTCTAAACTCCCCATGTTTCGAAAAGTTGACTTATTTCGGTAATTGTTGCCTTCTTGCGTTTGTTCCTGTTTTTAAACGTAAAACGTGGATATTGTTTTAATTTTTTTAACTGCCTGTTAGAAACGTATTTAATGTATAGAACAGGTGCATCCCCCCCCTCATAATAGTTTAATGTAGACAACAGATGCATGCCCTCCCCCCCCCCTATACTTTCCTGTAGACACAACACTGTTAGCCACTCAAATGTTTGTTAATTAAAACAATTGGTTTGCTTTATTTAAATAATCACAGTTGTTATCAAAGCATTTTTTTATTAAAAGAAAAACAACTTCCATTGACACATTGTTGTGTGTGTGTGTGTCTACATTCGTTTACAGTAGTGTGTGAATGGGGGTGGGGGAGTGGATTTGTGTGTGTGGGGGGGGGGGGTGAGGTAAATTAGCATTCCAACCTTTAGGAAAGCGATTACCAGAGTGGAGTTGACAGTTTGTGGCATGCATAGGGCGAATCATTGGAGCCACTCCAGAAATATGTCTTACATAGAGGCACGACATTTCCGTAACATTTAGCTGGTGGTGTTGTGGGGGATGTGGTACAACCACATGACACGTAGTCGATAGGAGGGATGTGGTACAACCACATGTCACGTAATCGTTAAGAGGGATGTGGTACAACCACAAGACATCGTTAGAGTTAGTTGATATGCTGCACTTCAGCGTTGGGAGAAGTGTGGAACAACCACATGCAACACTTGAGATGTAAGAAATGTGGAACAACCACATACCAGGGAACGATGTGGTTTGGTCATGCGCACAGTCAAGTCAACCACAACTTCATAAGTTAACCATCCTCACCATCACTCCCGTCTTAACTAGCACTACAACTAGCTGGGCCTAACGTTACAAAGTGTCGATCACGTAGCTATGTAGCGAGTAGGCTACCATACAGCCTATATCACGTATCTATGTAGCGATTAGGCTACATGTAGCGAGTAGGCTACCACATTGCCTAGATCATGTAGCGAGTAGGCTACACGTAGCTATGTAGCGAGTAGGCTACATGTAGCGAGTAGGCTACCACATTGCCTAGATCATGTAGCGAGTAGGCTACACGCAGCTATGTAGCGAGTAGGCTACATGTAGCGAGTAGGCTACCACATTGCCTAGATCATGTAGCTATGTAGCGAGTAGGCTACACGTAGCTTTGTAGCGAGTAGGCTACACGTAGCTATGTAACGAGTAGGCTACCATACAGCCTAGATGTACTCAACCAACCTAAACGCGGGTAAAGGGAAGAAGTTAACTGATGGTAGACGTGGGGTGTAGGGAGTGGTTGGGGGGGGGGGGGGGTCACGGGGGTGGGGTGTGCGTGAGATTTGCTGCTGGTCCCAGAGATGAACAGAATCAGATAAGCCCCGGGAAACCAGGGAATGTTCGTCAAGTTCTGCTGACCTACATTGTCAGCAGACGACTCCATCAGATACAACTTAACGCCGTGACGTCACTAGACGCTGTCAGTATAAACACATGGCGTGTTTCAGACAACAATCAATTCATTATGACACGTGACACAGCCCCACGTCATCATTCCACATGCCTACAGCCACCAACATTCAAGCCAATCACACACCCTACATCAACTTTCCAATTTTCTTCCAATTTATTTTATCGTCTGCGAGAAAAAAAAATTCCCGTTACCGGATGTTTATTTTGTGCGCTTCGAATTTTCCCTCAAGGCAGAAGATTATAAAACCACGCAACAACCGAGACAAGTTGAGTTGGAAAAGTTCATCAACATTTATTAGACTAGTTATGGCGGGAGGGTGGAGGGTCGGGTGGAGGGGAGGGGGGAGCGGCGGGTGGATGGGTGGGGGTAATCAGGTACTTGAGTGCCAGCCGCAATATTGCTACCAGACGAGGCTAGAGCTAGGCTAGCTGTTATCATCTTGTTTTCATTACAAGAAATCGAAAGTTCTAGAAAGATGCAGGGTTGTGTTGTGTACGTCTGAGAGTTGGTTTGTTGGGTTGATACAGGTGTGTAGTGGGTGGTGTGTACACAGTTAAGGGTAGTGTGTGGGTGGGAGTGGTAGGGGAAGTCATCGGATAGGATTGGTGATGGAATGGGTTGGGGGGGGGGGCGGTGAGATGGATGGTATGGGGAGGAGGGGTGGTGTGGGGGATACATTGTGTGGGGAGTATGGGTGGTGTGGGGGATACATTGTGTGGGGAGTATGTGTGGTGTGGGGGATACATTGTGTGGGGAGTATGGGTGGTGTGAGGGGATACATTGTGTGGGGAGTATGGGTGGTGTGGGGAGTAAGGGTGGTGTGGGGAGTATGGGTGGTGTGGGGAGTATGGGTGGTGTGGGGAGTAAGGGTGGTGTGGGGAGGGGATACATTGTGTGGGGAGTATGGGTGGTGTGGGGGATACACTGTGTGGGGAGTATGGGTGGTGTGGGGAGTAAGGGTGGTGTGGGGAGGGGATACATTGTGTTGGGTGTATGGGTGGTGTGGGGGATACATTGTGTGGGGAGTATGGGTGGTGTGAGGGGATACATTGTGTGGGGAGTATGGGTGGTGTGGGGAGTATGGGTGGTGTGGGGAGTAAGGGTGGTGTGGGGAGGGGATACATTGTGTGGGGTGTATGGGTGGTGTGGGGGATACACTGTGTGGGGAGTATGGGTGGTGTGGGGAGTAAGGGTGGTGTGGGGAGGGGATACATTGTGTTGGGTGTATGGGTGGTGTGGGGGATACATTGTGTGGGGAGTACGGATGTTAAAGTGGGGGATGTGTGGTGTGAGGAGGATGGACAGTGAGGGAGTATGGATGATGTGGTAAGATGGATATGGTGTTGATGTGTGTAGCCCTCACATAGCTATGTGTGTAATATAAGACAAGGCAGAGACCAGGGTTGGCTACTGGTTGCACTGTGTAAACCACTTCACGGTGTGATGCCCGTCTCATACATATGCAGGTCGGGAATGTTG